TGGTAAGGAGCTAGGGAGAGCTCCTCCAGGAGGGCAACAGGTGCCTCTATATCAATGTGTGCAGCATGGGAAAGAAACAGGAGGAGCTAGAAACCGTGGCACAATTGGGAAAGTATGACCTAATTGCTATCATGGAAACATGGTGGGATGAATTCCATGATTGGAATACCCTGATTGAGGACTACAGGCTTTTCAGAAGAGATAGACAGGGTAGGAGGGGTGGCAGAATTGGCCTCTGTGTTAGGCAGTGAATAGATTGCGAAGAGCTGTGTCTGAGGAACAGCCATGATAAGGTCAAGAGCTCGTGGGTAAAAATCAAGGATCAGTCCAGTAAAGGGCATCTGGTGGCTGGGGTCTGTTACAGGCCACCTGATCAGGAGGAGGCTGTTGATGAGGCCTTCCTGCTTCAGCTGCAGGAGGTGATATGCCTGCAGGCTCTTGTCCTGATGGGGGATTTCAACCACTCAGATATCTGCTGGGATAGCGGCATGGCGGGTAGCAGACAATCCAGGAGATTTCTGGTGTCTGTCAAGTACAACTTTCTGGTCCAGGTAATAGATGGACCAACCTGAGATGAAGCGAAGCCTTACTGGACCTGATGCTCGCTAATGCAGAGGAGAGCATTAGCGATGTTAATATTGCAGGCAGCCTTGGCTGTAGTGACCATGTCTTGGAGTTTGTGATCTTAAATAATGTGGGCTTGACAAAAAGCAGAGCTAGGACCCTGTGCTTTGGAGAGCAAACTTCTGGTGCTCAAGGAGCTGCTGAGTGGGATCCCCTGTCCTCAAGGCATGGGTACAGAACAAAGCTGGCAGCTCTTTAAGGACACCCTTCTGAGCACAATGGCTCTCCATCCCCCAGGAGAAAAAGTCGAACAGGGAGGCAGGCAACCATCATGGCTGTGCAAGGACCTGTAGCTTAAAGTGAGAGAAAAGAGGGAAACGTACAGAAAGTGGAAGCAGGGTTGTGCAGCCTGGGAGGAATACAGTGTTGTTGTCCGTGTGTGTAGAGATAGGATTAGGAAAGCCAAGGTGCAGATGGAGCTGAACTTGGCAAAGGGTGTGAAAGATAACAAGGGGTTCTACAGTTACATAGGCAAGAGGAGACAGGCCAAGGAGAGTGTTCCCCCCATGATGAAAGGTAATGGGGAACTGGCTTCCTCAGACATAGAAAGAGCTGAGGTTCTCAATGTATGCTTTGCATCAGTCTTCATGTGTGATCAGGCTTCCTGTGTCTGCCAGGACCATGAGCCTCTAAGTGAGGGTGTGAGGAGAGGTTTCTGTCCCACTCTAATAGTGAAACAAGTCCGAGTCCTCCTCATGAAATTGAATAAGTCCATGGGGCCAGATGATATCCATCCTAGGGTTCTGAAGGAGTTGACTGATGTGGTTGCCAAGCCGCTCTCCATCATATTTGAAAAATCGTGGCTGTACAGTGAAGTCCCCAGTGTCTGGAAAAGGGGAAACGTTACTCCCATTTTCCAGAAAAGGAGAAAGGATGACCCGGGGAACTACAGGCTGGTGAGCTTCACCTCTGTGCCTGGGAAGATCATGGAGCAGATCCTCCTAGAAGCTATGTTAAGGCACATACAAGATAAAGAGGTGATTTGAGACAGCCAGCATGGCTTCACCAAGGACAGATCTTGCCTGACCAATCTGGTGGACTTCTGTGATGGAGTGATGGCTTCAGTGGATGGCAGAAGGGCGATGGATGTCATCTACCTGGACTACCTGCAAGGCCTTTGGCAAATTCCTGGTTACAGAATGCATAGAGAATGATCTGCTCTGACAGTAGCTTCTCCTGTTTTATTGTGTTGGCCCATTATGTCAGAGGTGGATGTTGGTGGTATGGCAGTAGAGGTTGAGCCATCCCCCACTATTCTGTTGCATTTTGTTGCCATGTAACAGATGGCAGTAGTCTGTCAAAATGGTATCTGACATGAATGGAAGTTCATATGAAGCAAAGGTGTGTTGTTGAATTCCTCCATACAAAAGAATGGCATCCACTGGCATTTATTGACATTTGCTGAACAACAGTGGAGACTGCTCAGCATATACGAGCGCAGTGAGATGGTGGTGGTGTGTTTCACTGGTGACAGCAACAGTGGGTGTAGATTTTTACCAGGCTCTTGTTTATTGCTGTCAAAAATGCATAGCTAGTGGTGGTAACTGTATTGAAGAAGAGTTTTGTAGTGTAGAATTTGTTCTGTCAGTGTTATTGTGCTCTTTGTATGTGTTGTAGTATTCGTGGCAATAAATAGGAGGCATTACTTTTGGAGTGACCTACATAGTATATTTGTTCATTTTTTGCACATTGGTTATATCATAAAGCAAAAAAAGGTTGCTGTCTGGATTTTTCTGTTATGTGGTCACTTGGGAACTGCTGCATCTGTGAGAAGATAGTAGTGTTTTGCTTAAAGTGTTGAAGTGTTCCATTCTGAAGAAATTGTAAGAAGCAGGCAATATTTTAAGAGCACATTGCATAGACTGAGCCTCATGGTCTGTGTAAGCTGATGTTAAAGGCTTGATATTGAGGAAAACTGTTCCTTCAGATGGCCTCATGTTCTTTGCTTTTCGTACTTCCCCATGCTAGAGAGAAATGTGTCTGGGGGGAAGGGGAGAAAGACAGTCAGAAAAACAGGCTTTTTTCTTTTTTTTTTTTCCTCCAGTGTTGCCAAGCATTCTGTAGATTAGAAGAACTTTGCTGTAGAATGGGTTTTCATATTCCTGATGCAGTCTGTTTAAACTGGACTGTGACTGCAGAGAGCTGTCTCTGTTGCTGTGGTTGCATGTTCCTGTTGCTTTCCTTGTTTCTCAACGTCAGCAGTCCTGAAATCACACGGTTGCTTTTCGCACTGTATGCCTGCTAACTAGTTAATCACAGTTAGATTTCTTGCTCTTGAGGAGGTGCAGATGAAAAGAAACTGTTGCAAGGAACCAAGGATGCTGAACTGTCCATGGAGGTAGCAGCATAATTGTAAACTTACTGAAGCAGTCAAAATGGGAAGCCACCTCTGACACTTTTTTGTCCTAGTTATGTACATGTATGGCACTGATGTAAGTTGTATTTAAAATACATGTAGTTAAACGCTTAAATACTCGTAGGATGTTGAATATATATTTCCTTTAACTTTCTTAGTCCATTGGGAACCTGAACCCTGCTCTGGCTCTGATAGCAATGTTTACTTGGTCTGTCATGTAGTTAAAATGTAATCTGTGATCTAACTTGTTTCTGCTGATAGCTGATGTACATTAACTAGATGCCTGCATGATAAGTATTGTGTGCCTGGCTTGTGGCAGGATGAAAACAAAGAGTGAGTTTCTGCAACTCATTTGAAAAATAGGCCTGATGTACTGGGGAATAGAAAAGCTATTTGTAGAGACCTGAGAGATTTATTTTTTTTTAACCGTCATAGAATAGTTGTTCAGTTTTTCATTTCGGACAGTGTATAAAGCATGCAATGATAGTTTTAGGGGGATGTTTAAGCTATCTCATAAAGCCTGCTCTGTTTTAACAGGTCTTTTAACATAGTCTAGGACTAAAGTCCTACTTTTTTTTTCTTCTTATGTAGGGAGTTAAGGCAAATATAGAAGTTCAGGAACACTCTTAAATATTCTGTAATGTAAACTAAATAGCAGTGAAAAACAGTGCTCATATTTAAATATTACAGACTACCGATTAAACTCTTAAATATTATTGTTAATCTAAAGCTGTGTCTGTGGGGGAGTGAGGTTACTAAATGGGAACACGTTGAAATAACTGTATAATATGAAGTAACTTGCTCAGATTATTAGTTGTCATCCTTCTTTGCAGAAGTCTTTGTAGTAGAAAAAACTGAAGCAAAACAAAAGGAATTTTGTGTTAATTTTCTTTTAGCTCAATGCCTTAGAGAGATGCATGTGAAAATGCATCAGTTAATTAACCATGAACAAAAATCATGATGACTTTTAAGACCAATAATAGGATGGCTGCGATAAGGGGCTCGTTCTTGCATTAAGAGAAGTATGCTGGCCATAAATATTAAGTGAAAGCTTTAAATATTGTCAAAAATTAAGTGTAGTCAGAATTGAGTTCGTGTTAAAACTCTGTTCTCTTTGAGATCTGCAGCTTGCAGTAGCTGTTTGCATATTAGTTCTGTTGTCTTCAGCCATTTTTTTTTCTGTTGATATTTTGGAGTTGATGTTGGATTCTATCATAAAAAAGAAAACAGAATTCTTATGAAAGCTACTTCAAACCTTTTCAGTGATCTGTTTAATCAAATAGCTTAACAAGCTCTAAGCGTTTTCTGAATTGGCAAGCCAGAAAAGGGTTAATGACAGCTCATCAAATCAAGAGTTCTCTGTTAAATTTTCATTAAAATTGTGAAGTAAAAGTGCAGTATCTAAACTTGTGTTGGGGAAAGATAGTAAAAATAAAATCATATGTATACTAGTAAGTTTCGATCTCAGAAAATGGACATTATGATGTCAGTTTCAATTTACTAAAAGACTTTCAGGAAGAACTAGATAACTTCAGGATAGAATCCCTACCACTCTTGATGTATTTGAAAATAATTTTCAGTAGTTCTTGATTGCTGTTGGTAACTTTATTGAAATGAGTCTTTGTTGACATGGTAAATCTGACTGATGTGTAATATTTCTTTCTCCTTGGCTTTTCTACCCAGCTTCTGCAGGCTGACTGTTGTAGTAAACTACATGTTGGAAACATTGCAGAGACTAATTTGATATTCCATTTGACATTTTCCATATTGTGATCTTCACCATTTTTCAGTTACCTAAATTTCCATCCTAACTTTTAAAACTAGATAACAAGATCCTACTATTTGTAATACTTTCGTCTTTTGAGTATTTTGTTTTATTTTGTTCTTTCTTTTTCATCACATTAAAATGCGTAACAGTTAATTAAGAACAGTAATGACACAATGCTTGTGTATATAAAATTGTTCATGAAAACAGTGTGCTTTCCAGCTTGATGCAGTTTATTTTTGTGTTGTTCTGTAGGTCTTTCGAATGGTTTTGGAGACAGCAGTAAAGAGAGAGCGTTAGATGATTCTGCAGGGAGAAAAGTTGAACCTCGTCGCCGCTGTGCATCAGAATCTAGTATTTCATCTAGTAACAGTCTTTTGTGTAACACCAGGTAAAACTAAATCTCAACTATAAATTTGAGGTTGAATTTGTCAATTTTTTTTTTTTTTTTTTTTTTTGATGCTTCTGATACACCTTGAAGAATTGTATACATTTTACAAAAAAAAAAAAAAAGTTTCAGTTTTCTCAGTTCTGTGTCAAACCTGATGTGCTTTCTAGGATTACTGGTATTCCATTATTCTATTTGGGTTATTGCAGATCTGAGAACATGTTATTAACTGTGCTTGTCTTGTTTTTCTGCTCAGTATAAATACTTACAGATAGATGCATACACAAATTTATGTGGATAGAATTTTGTTTTAATTACCTTCACAGTCTTGAACTCAAAAATGCAAATATTTCATTTGTAGGCATGATGAGAAGGAGCAATCTACAGCTGAGTCTTGTGCTCAGGGAAGGCAAATTCAGCAGTTGTGAAACTGTAGACTATTGATCTGTGACTCAGGTCACTGGTTAGTTTCTGCAGTGATTATAATACCTATATACCAAGCATTCGTTGTCTCTTTGTGCAGTCTTTTGCAAAATAGAAGGCTGTCAGGATGGTCACCACTGTCACCAGTGATGTGTACTTCTCCATCACTTACAGTGCACCATCTTCCAAAAACGCACGAATATAACACCTCCTATTTCAACAAAGTCACCATTATTAGCTATGCATTTTTACCAGTGATGAGTCTGCATGCCACTCATAAAAACCTGCACCAGCAGAGGTGTCCCACTGTCACCACTGCTGAAATGTGCCATCTGCCGCCCCACTGAGCTCACATCCACTGTTTGGTTTCCATAAATATTAAGAAAGCATCTGTTTTTTTTTTCCCACATGGAAGAATTTGATGACAACTTCGTATACACTCCCATGTCAGACTGCCCCTCTGCTGCCATATGTCACACAGCAATAAAATGTAATGGAATATTGTCAGGAAGGTTCAGTCACTGCTGTCATACCACGACATCCACCTCTGATGTTTTGGATCAATGCAATAAAATAGGAGGCATTACTTTCAGAGCAGCCCTTTTTACTGTCTCCAGTTTGGGGCTTATGAGAGTAGGAAGGAAGTAACATGGCAGTGAAGTGTTGGTGTAGAACTGGGTGGGTTTGTTAGGATCCATGGAATAACAGTAGCTAATATGTGCTCTCTTAGCGTAGGAATGTGGTAGGTGATAGTTGTCAATACTCTTTCAGTTGTTAATAAACTTCATTAAGTTGTCAATGATGAGAGAGGTGAAGAAGTTTGAAAATATGTAATGGATGAAATGAGTTTGTTACAGTAGGACAGGACGTAGAGTTGTATAAGATGAAACTTTTTTGAAGTTTCTCGTGTGTTGGGTTTTTTGTTTGTTTTTAAAAGACACATTTATCTGTTCATGTTTTGTATTAAATTGCTCAAGGAAGTGGTTTTAATGCATTTGTGTCAAACTGATTTTCAGAAACAAAGAGAATTTAGTATTGCATCTCTTGTGAGCGATATTTTGAGGATACAACTTGCTTCTAGTTGCTCACATTCTTTGATCTCCTCTAGAAAACTCAGATGTGCAATAAAAACTCTTCAGCACAGCTTCCTCACTTTGTGTATAGACATTGCTCTCACAATTTAAGAGTTCGGATTTGTAATGAAAAAAGCAAGAAAATAATAATTTCAGTTTAGTGGGACTGTTGGAGCAGAGGTTTCCATTTGGCCAGTATCTCTTGTAACTCTGGAGGCGAAGCAGCTGCTCCTACAAGGTGCAGGTCATACATGCTCAAAAGTAAAGGTGCAATTGAGTACTGTTTTAATTTGGTGATAACTAGTGGGTTATGTGTGTAAAAGTACTTTCCAATTTTAGTTTTTATGTTGTTTAATTTTTATCACATGAAATTCACTAGTTTGCTGGTAGGATATTTTTTTCCCCTTATGGAATTTTAAGTTCATGTTCATTATCATCATTATCTTCATTTGTAATGAGCTATGTTAATTCATTGAGTAACAGTATTAATACTTTTACAGTTTCAGCCTACCAAAGTGTGGTAAAGGTAAACCAGCACTTATACGAAGACACACATTGGAGGATCGCAGTGAATTGATATCTTGCATTGAAAATGGAAACTATGCCAAAGCAGCAAGAATTGCAGCTGGTAACTATAAATGATTGTTTTTTTAATAATGCTCTATAACCATAATTTATCTGTTAGTTTAAATGATTCTAATATTATTTTCTCTGCTGAAAAACATCTTAAGAGTTCTGAAAGCGATGTTGATAGCGCAGCAGAAAATGCTGGATTTTGCTTTCAACTTTTTAAGAACTTAAAAGAGAGAAGATGTTCCTTTTGATCAGTAAGGGATCTTTGAAGTGATTTAGGTTACTCCAGTAATACAAGCAAAACTTGAACTGCCGTACTGCTAGTGGGTCTGTTAGCATTTTTCCTAAACTTTTTGTTTTAGAGCTTACTCCTCCATACTATTCTGTATTGACAGAATAGTCGGTTGATGAGTAAGACATTGTTTGCTTGGATTCAGGAAAAAAAAAAGTTGGAAAAAAGTGGAAATTTTTAGGAGCGTAGTGTATAATAACCAGATTTTAGAGAATATATTATGCTTTGGTAATGTATCTTCCTTTTTTGTGTATTTTTTATTGCACTGCAAGATACAAGTTATCTCATCTGTGAGTAGAGCTGTGTTTGTAGAATACAGTGTTCCTACACTGATGCTGGGGATCAGGCTTGCTGTGTCTAGCAGGCCTGTCCTTAGTTTCTGACCTTGAAGCTTTTCTCCTCTAAACCAGGACTTTTTCATGTCTTTCCAGTGCTTGTATCTGTCTCTTTGTTTGTCTTATTTTGTTCTTTCCTTCCAGTATGATGCATTTTATTGTCCTTCTTGCAGCTGATCTGTTTTCAGCTGTTTCATTAGTCTTGGGTTTGTATCTTTATTATTTGTATGGTAACCTATTATACAAGACTTTATTTTTTTTTTTTTTCCCATTTGGTTTTCTTATTTTGTCCTGGGGAGCCTTGCATTTAATGCTTTCCCCTTTCTGTACATGCTTTTTCAGAACTCTCCTTGATCTTAGCTCTTTCTCTGTTCTCAGGTATACCATGTAGCTGCTTAAAAGGAGGAGAAATAGCATTATTTTGTATATTAATAGATATTCTGTCTAATTTGAGTTCTTCGCTGTCTGCACTGGCAGATAAAGAGGAATAAACAAGCAGGAGTGAAGTGAACTGTGCTGTTTCTGTTCTATGCATAACTAGAACTTTGCCATGATTTTCTTAGATTTGCAAACTGTTTCAAAGAATTTTGCTTGGCAGTAGTGTCCATGCTTTAGGACCAAACACAGTGCTTACAGTTGCACTGTTCCAAGGTCCAAAGCATATTTTCGTTTTATTTACAAGATGCTTTCTCGAAACCTCTGGCATGGTATGTTGTAGTAGTACAGTTATGACGATAATATCATATAATACATGCACAGTAGAGATGTGTGCTATGAGGGGTTTTTATAAACAGTTGCAATATACAGGGCTTTGCTGAGATTTCTATGTTCTGGCTTCCTTTGCAGGATTGGGAATTTGTGGGGCCAAAGTGGCAGAGCATTCTTCTGCCTGTCTCCTGAATCTTGCCTGCTCCTTTTCTCTAGGTGTTCCCTGTTCACCTATCCAAGCTTCTCATCTGCCTCTCCTGTTCTTAGCTTCTGTTTCTCTCTGTTTTGTTGTCTCAGCTTGTAAATTCTTTGTCCCACAGTTTACCAGTCAGTCTCTTCACCTTGTCAGACTTTTTTTCTTTCCTTGGTAAATCTTAGCAACTTTTTTTTTTATCAGTGTCTAGATGCTGTTTCTCCCTTCAGTCATTTCATTCTGGTGAGCAGGAGTGGGGAGGGGGACATTTCATGGCATTTTATTCAAATTGCTTTATCTTTTGCGTGGTCTTCTTTTCAGATGGTAAGTCATTGACAGCAGGGAACATTTTGCTCAGCTAAAAGACAATAAATGGGAAGCTCCCCAATATATCATTTGTGCTAAGGAGTGATCTGTGTGCTCTGGAGGAATCACAACTGTCTTAGCAGCATTTGTGGAGCATAAATATGCTCAGTGTCTGTGGATTTATCTGCAGATTTAAATGTTAACATCAAAGTTGTTTCTAAAGGAGAAAAAAAAGCCCAACCAGAAAGCAACCTTACAGCACTGTGCGCTCTTAACTACTACGATCATATTTCAGTCAAAAAAGGCTTTCTTATTTGAGGTTGAAGTTTCTGGTTTAAAACAAAATTCATTAGTAACTGCCATACAGAAAAAAACTGTCCTTTCTGAAAGTTGTGCAGATACTGAGTTTTGAAATTCTTAGCTCAGTTTCTGAAGGCAAAAGTATCTTAAGTCCTGAAGCTTGTGATGCTGACACCTAATGGGTGTTTTGCTCAACCTACCCTTGAAAAGTTCAGCCTGTGAACTTCTTTGTGAGAATGTTCATGCAGAAAACCCGACTTATCAGTTGTTTTTGAAGTATTGTAAGAAGTAGAAAGTATGTAAGGGGAGGAAATGTTTAATGAGACATCCTTGTCTTTGAACTGTTTTATATTGTTTCTGAAGTCTGGTGTTTGGTATTTCGTTACTGTCAGTTTTCACATTGGGAGTACTATTATTTAAAAAACATAAAAGTACATTGTCATGACTGCAAATTTAAATACATTCTCTCTTATAGATTGAGGAAATAAATGATTTGTATGGCATGAAAGAAAAGTACTAACCATGTTTGCTAGCATACTAAACTCCTAAAATCATTTGAAATAAATTCTTACTAGAAAAATATTCTGAGATTCTTCCCTATTCTTAAACCTGAGAAATCCCTGAAGAAGCCTTGCTGCATGCAAGATTTAGATTATGTATCACTTTCTACACTGCATTAAAATATCATTTCTTCATTTTATATCAATTTTGCAGCTAAGAATAACGTAGGTTTCTTTGGTTTCTTCTATTAGCTGTCCCAGAAAAGAGGGCCTGCACTGTTTTTAAGTAGCAGATACAGATACGAATTTAAACAGAACTTTGTCCAGCTTCCTTGTGAATGCTTAACATATTAATATTAATAAAACAGATACAAAATTGCTTAAATTACTTTCTCTGTGGTGATAGAAATTACTTTGATCAATTGTTTCAAGATTAATCCTGATAAACCATTCTGGTAGTGACGTGTGTTTCCATAGTGTCCAATATTTAATATATTCAGCTGTAGAAGGATAAGAATGTCTTTATGTATTCTTATATATTCAATTTATTTTATGTTTTTATATATCCGAAGAATATTGCGGCTTTTATTGAGAAAATAAAGAAAATCCTGAAAAAAATCTCTCTAAAAATATATAGAAAGGAACAAGTAAACAAGCCAGTAAATAGATCTAGTATCATTTCTTCTAAGGCTACATAGTTCAGTAAAATAAAAAATAAAAAAAATATTTAAAAAAAGGGCAAAAACCAATAGAAATAAGTCATTTCCATGGTTGTATGTAATGAAATCTACTGATTAAAAGTTTCATTGGTGGAGCAAGCCTTCTGGAATTGATAATAAACATCCCCGTGTTCTTCTGAGTACTTGTTTGAGGTCTTAAATGCTGTAGAAAATTGTGTTTGGTTCTTTTATTCGTCTGATGTATAAAGCTGAAATAGAACCTGTAACAATTTTTAGCTTCGGAAATATCTAACATCTTGTTTAAGTTGTGGTGGCAGGTTACTATGAATTATTGCATTTTGATAACTTTTGTTACTGGACAGTGAATCTCTAAGGTTAAACTTCCCAGTGCAGTATTTTCTTGGGATGCTGATACTATTATTAATTGAAGTAAACTATAATTGAATGGAAAGCCTGTGTTTGAAAATTGGCCTAGAATATACTGTGGAGAATGTGTGACCTCTTTGTTTAGTGATCAGCTCAAGAATCTTTCCCCCACTACTACTTCTTCTGCATGTTTTGAAGCCATTTTCTTTTAGCTCTTTTCTCAGTGTCAAAATGTATATTTGCACATCAGATGTCATAATAAGCACTGCTTATTTTAAATAGGAGCAGATTAGAAGTAATTTAGGAATAAATTTTCTTGTGGCTCTTGGAAAGCCATCAAGCACTGTCTTCTTTCTAAATACTGTGCAGCTGAAATCTCTGAGATACGAAAAGGTTTTGTTTTTTTTTTTTTGCTATTTTTTATTGATGTTTCTATGGAATGTGTCATTGGCATACGTTTGTTTGATTTATTGATTAGAAAACAACTACAGAAGATTTGTCTGAGGCTTCGTTCTTTAAAATACTAATCTTACATGTAATTATTTTCTGTTTTTAGAAGTTGGTCATAGCAGTATGTGGATTTCGACTGATGCTGCAACATCTGTTCTTGAGCCTCTGAAAGTAGTATGGGCCAAATGCAGTGGATATCCCTCTTACCCAGCTCTGGTGAGTGTGCAGTTTTCCATCAGCACATACTGATACAAACAACAAAACTGTTTATGGTTTGAAAATCTCGATCCATGAGCTCAGCCTGAAAGGGAAGTTATGAATTGCCCTGAGTAAAAGGGGATCAATTTGCCCCTCTTTATAGCTTTTCCATGAATTCTATTTGTAAAATTATTACAATACCAGACAGATATTGAGCCAGTGGTATCTATTACTGCATGTATTTCACTAGGCTTTGTTACTGCAATGTACACTTTTGTTTAAAGGATCAGCTGAATAAGCATTTGACAGGCATCTTGGTAGTATTAGAATTAGAGATATTTTCTGCTGCAAAATGAATATAAAATATTGTTTGTTTCTGAAGCTTATTAAAGAAACAAAATATTTGATACTATGAATTGAATGATTTTTTTCAGTGAATTGTATGCATAAACTTGAAGCTGTTGTTTGTGGTTTTAGGAGAAATACATGCAGTTCTGCTTAAATCAACAGCTTGTAGAGAAAATATTGTTTATGAATGGCTTTGGGCATTTGGTGCTATAGATATAGTCTGTTTTCATCACTTTCATAGCATTGCCAAGGTTGGAAAGGACCTCCAAGATCACCTAGACCAACCTAACACCGATATTTCCCCTCTAAAACATGTCCCTCATTACAACATCTAAAGGTTACTTGAACATCTCCAGGGATGGTGATTCAACCACCTCCCCAGGCAGCCTGTTTCAGCACCTGACCACTCTTTCAGAGAATAAATTTTTCCTAATATCCAACCTGAACCTCTGGAGGCACAACTTGAGGCCATTCCATGTAGTCCTATCGCTATCACATGGGAGAACCTCTTTCCAGCCTCCTTTCAGATAGTTGTAGAAAGCGGTAAGGTCTTTCCTGAGCCTTCTCCAGATTAGAGTCACAGTTTCTTTAGACACTCCCCAGTATTTGAGGTGTGGTCTCACTAGAGCTGAGTACAGAGGCATAATTACTACCCTGCTGCTGCTGGCTACGCTATTTCTGATACACACTAGGATGCCTTTGGCCTTGTTGTCCACCTGGGCACACTGCTGGCTCATGTTTAGCTGAGAGTTGACCAACACCTCTCATGTCCATTTCTTCCACGCAGTCTTCATGCCACTCTACCCCAAGCCTATAGTGTTTCTGGGGTTGTTATGGCCAAAGTGTGGGACCCAGCACTTGGTCTTGTTGAGCTTCATCCCATTGGCCTCAACCCAGCAGTCCAGCCTGTTCTTATTAATAAAATAAACTAGATGATCATATGACTGCTTTGACATATATATACTGGAGAGATCAGGTACTGTAGTTATGCAGTCATGTTAAAGCTAGTGGAGATGAGGTTCTGAGCATGAATTTCACCCATCAGTGGGTGTGACCCAAGCACACCTGGATCAGATGTTTATATTGTGATTGATTGCCTCTTGAATGGTGCACTTTGTTAGATTTAAATTGATCATAAGTAGGAAGTGCCTAAAGGCTCCTTTTCCCTCCTCTACGTAAACACTGATAGTTCTCTGTGTGATTAGTTGATTGATGTTTTAACTTCAGTCAAGAGAAGAAGATTCTTGTGATTTCCATGAATTCTCTACAGTATTAGTTTTCTGTTGATTTTCATTACCAGCTTATTGTAAATTAAGGTAGATACTAATGCAGAAGCTGGAAAAATAACAGGAGTTTGTTGGACAGGAAGTGTATGGAACAGACACTGTTTTTGGTGGCAGTTGAGCAATTGTTAATGCTGTACATTACTTATAAAGGAGTTTCATTTGTGATTTTCACAATACAGTTCACTGAAAAATGAGTTGCCTTTTCTGATAATTAAATAGCTTATGCAAAGTACTTGAAAGTTACATTTTTTTTCCTGCTTTTTTTTCCTGTTTCATTTGTTGTTTTTTTTTTTTTTCCTTGTTCAAAGCTGTTCTTGATTCAGATTTTGAGTGTCTGACTTGTTCTTTGCAGAAACAAATATTCATACTGGGATGTGTTATACAGTTTGGGTTTATTTTTTCTTTTTTTACATAAAATGTAGTTTTAAAAATTAGGAAATCTCTTTTCTTCTCTTTTACAGATCATTGACCCTAAAATGCCTCGTGTTGCTGGTCATCACAATGGTGTTACTATACCAGTGCCACCTTTGGATGTACTGAAGATTGGAGAACAAATGCAGACCAAATCAGATGAGAAACTATTCTTAGTACTGTTTTTTGACAATAAAAGAAGTTGGTATGTTATTGAAATGTTCTGCATGATGCAGTGACTTAAAATTTTAACTCAATAGCTTAAATCTAAGAAATGATTAAGATGCTGTCTTAAAGATATTTTTCCCCATGATTATAGCAACTGTAATGTTAAAATTTCATGTTTAAGTCAATTCTTGGACTAAGACGTATTTTACTGAAGGGTACAACATTAACAGTTGAACTCCCAGTGCCCAGTGTTATGATGTGGAATATCAAAAACCAAAAATCACAAAACCATGACAGGTACTTATTTGTGGGCTGTTTGAAAGGTAATAATATAAACTGTTAAATAGTCTTTTGGTTTGATCTGCAAGCTGGTGCTGATATTGAACTCAGGAATGTACCAGGCCAGCAGGGCTTGGGGATTGTCCTGCTCTGCACTGTGCTTGTGCAGCCTCACCTTGAGCTCTTTGTGCAAGTTTGGGCTCCATGATGTAAGCAGGTCACAACTGTTAGGGAGCATTCAAAGGAGAGCTGTGAAGATAAAGGATCTAGAGGGCAGAACGTATGAGGAGCAGTTGCAATCCCTTGTTTTTTTCAACCCAAAGAAAAGGAGACTGAGAGGAGGCCTCATGGTGGCCTACAGCTTCGTCATGAGGAGAGCGAAAAGGCAGCGCTCATCTCTGCTTTCTGGTGATAGCAGCAGGACCTGAGGGAACAGCATGGAGCTGCAACAGGGGAGGGTCAGATTAGATATTAGGAAAAGGCTCTTCACCAGAGTGTGATCGGGCACTGGAAAAGGCTCCCCAGAGCGTTGGTCATGGTCCCAGGCTGTCAGAGTTCAAGAAGCACTTGGACAGTAATTTCAGACTTAAGGTTTTATTTTTGGGTGGTCCTGTGTAGAGCCAGGAGCTGCACTCCATGATCCTTGTTGTTCCCTTTCAGCTCGGGATATACTGTGATTGTATGATTGCAAATTAAATTGCATGAATTGTCATGCTAATTTCAGTCAGTTGATACTTGTCACTAAATAATACGTTATCTGTTGAATTAGCATGTATTCTTCATTTCATGGAAGATATATTTTGTATTTTTTAAAAAATACACAATATAAGTAATAACATAAAAGAAATTTTACTACCGTATTTAAGATGGCAAATCTGACCCACTAAATGGGAAACATGATATAGCAGGCCTTACAGTTCTATACAAACTTTATGATGTTATTTTATATTTAACTTATTTATTTTGCCCTTTCTTATAGGCAGTGGCTTCCCAAATCCAAAATGGTTCCCCTTGGGATAGATGAGACCATAGACAAGTTAAAAATGATGGAAGGTCGCAACTCGAGCATTCGAAAAGCAGTAAGGATTGCTTTTGATCGTGCTATGAACCACCTGAGTAGAGTACATGGAGAACCAGTCAGTGACTTCAGTGATATTGACTAACAGATTCTACCAAGGCGTGAAAAGTACCACAGACTTGAACTCTACTTAAGAACCTCTTTGTCTGAAAGAATGTATTGAAGATACAACCCCTTAATTGTTGATTCAGTGGCTCAGTTCTGCAAACTTGAAATTGTTGAGCAATTCTTCTAAATCACCATTGCCATATTGACAAATGATTTTATCGTATTATAGTTTGGAGGATTTTCCACTAAACATATTAAAACATCTTGTTCATAGTGTGCATAATTGTACATAACTGTATATTCAACACTTAACTTATTCTGATTTTAGATAGCTCTTTAATTTCTTTTATAATTTTGCTGGGGAGGGAGTTGGTTTTTGTTTCCATGCTTTTTCTTCTTTCTTTCTAAGTTTAAGTTACCTAAGCACCATCTTCCAGCTTAAGGTGTTTAGTGAATTGTAAAGCCTAATATCAAAATTACATCAAATATATGTTTGCCTAAATCATATACGATATGGTGCTGCTTGTATCATTTCTTCCTTGGTCTGTAGCTTCTGAAAAAGACTTCTGAATGTTTGTGTAAATCATTGCTCTTTGCACAAAGTACCACATATTTTAAGATTGATGTAAATTTACAATTACAAATATGTATTTTAAGAAAGGAAGTTGCATTATTTTGGAGGGTACTTTGTGAGAAAGGCATCAAGGAAAAAAAAAATTACTATGTACATCACTTGCAAATCACCAAAAACACTCCATAGTTGCCCAAAATAGCTTGAGATTGTTTTTGTTTTAAACAAATCTGGCTTAAAGCCTGCAAGCACATTATTTCTTTCACAACCATATCCCATTTATCTCCCATTGATTTTATTTTATTGATATATGTGCCTCCCTGTGTTTTATTTATTGTAGAAAATGTATTAATTTGCTTTATAATGAAAAATAAAATTGACAAATATATTGATATGCATTTTTATACAGGCACATGAGAAGACAACTTGCTTTGGGAGAAAAAATGTATTGGAAATTGTATAAAATAACTTGATGGTTTGTGTGTAATTTGATTTTTTTGTAACTTGTAATCTTCTGTTTCCACGGAGGGGATTTATGTAACTTTTAATTTAGAACACTTTGGTAGCAATAGAAACTTTGGATACATTTTTGTATGGTACATGTGATGTATATAGAATTAGTACTTTATTTTTATTTTTAAGAAGTAAAGCATTATGTTTGGGCAGGGGGAAGAAGGAGGGGGGTTTCCAGAATTGCATTTTTATATTAAAAAAAAAAAAAAAATAAAGTCAAGATATTGATTGTTGTAGCTACTTTATTCCTACCTTCACTGAGAATACAGAATTTGTAACAATGAAAATGGCAAGGTATGTTTGCAATGTGATTTATAATGACTCCATTATTTATAAATGCACTGTTTGAACTCTTTTGCAGTGATATCTTAAATACTGTACCAAGTTATATAATATGAAACACCAAATAATGCATATGAATGCACCAAGTATTTATGCCCAGCTTTTTTTTATAAAGGATTAGCAAAAATACAGCAAAACCAGTACTTTTTAAACCTTTTTTTAAAACTTCATGGATAGCATACTTCATTGTTAAACCTGCTTGAGTCTTTATTTTAAAGGGACAGTTACTTTATAAATAGTTTTTAATGTTTTTATTCTCTATTGTTTGTAATACCCCCTTAGAAGCTTGAAATAAAATTTCTTTCTCAACTGTTAATTTTGTCCTGAATTTGGCCCCTGAAATTTTGCTGTAGCGCCCATTCTCTTAATCCATGACTGAATTGTTGAAGAGGTGCTAGTTCCAGAACCTTGTTTTCTTGCTGCAGCATGCATTGCCATCCTTACTGAGCGTTCCGTGTGCTAAATATTCTAGTTATGCCCTACTGGCTGAGAGCAATTGCCTGTAAAGGACGACAGTAATTGCAAAGTTGGATAAGTTTCACAAATGATCGAGCAAACAGTTCTCCCAGTCTTGACAGTAAACTTTGCTTTAGGGGAAATAGTGATGGCAGGTGTTCTGCTGTGACAGAAACGATTGACACATCAGGTAGAAATAAAATGAAAACTTGCTCATTTGCTTTAATTAGTACTTTCGTGTAATGACTTTAAGGATCTGCCATTTCACTATGCTTATTTTTGATGGGAATTGAGCTTAACTTGCACAATATTGAGACAATAGATCTCTTTTGATCTTCTAGGGTTGCTTATTAAGAGAACCTTCAAAGATAGCCTGTGCCAGGTCATGTTTCAGATGTGGGCCACCAAATCAGTGTGTGTGAAAACAAATAATGATTGGTAGGAAGGGAAGAGAAAATAAATTGGAGTTCAGAGTGGGAAGATGATAATTTCATATGGGTGGAACTTTTATACCTCCGAAGTATAAATTTCCACTTAATAAGTTACACACGCAGGCATCTCCTGTCAGTTCTTGGAGAAGGTAACTTTTTATTGATTTTGAGAGAATACCTATACAAACTACTCTGTGAATGGAGTAAATGGGCATGGAAGGCTGTGATTTTTTTTTGTTCTTCTGTGCATGTGGTGGAAACTGTCCCAGAACTCAGGTTGCAGCAGTGGCTACAGCTTTTCCTACACTATGCCAAAGTAAACTATTATCCAGTGGTTCTTCAGGTTGGTTTCCTGTGTAAAATGATTTCTCAGACTTGTTGCTCGTCAGTGATGTGTTTTAAGGAGATGCATGCTTACTTAGTGAAGGAAGATTGATCCCCAAAATTGCTTTATTTCCTAATTTTATGGCCTATCTCAATAGTCAGATAAATGCGTATGTATCTGAGGATGTGTTTTGCTATGTTTCAGACCTTGCTCTTGACCATTAGTAACTGAAGTAATCATAGAGTAGAAATTAGTATTCTAGTGGAGGAAAAAGAAGGGAACAACATCATAAAGTTTGCGTGGAGCAGTATCCTACTGTTTTCTCATGGAGCATCACAGCAGTAAAAGCAGGGTGTGGATTTGCATACTCACTTGTCAATTCTGGTGTGACCATCCCCAGCTAATAAAGAGTGATTATCCCGGATCAGAAGCTGAAACAAAGTTAATTTGTCCTCTCTTGTATTAAAATGTGAGAAATCATGTTATAAATATTTAAGGAAAAAAGGGGTGTAATGACTTTCTTTTTTTTTTTAAAAAAAGAAAAAAAAAAAAAAAAAGTTTGTATTTGTTACCAAATGCAGTGGATTTTGCAATGTTTGTTGTGATTTTTGTATTTTTACACTAGAGGGAGCAATACACACAGACCATCAACATTCACAAAAATATTTAATATTTTCTTTTTAAAATGCTGCTATTAAAACTTCTTGCTGTTAAACAGTCTTTTCTGCTTCTACTTTTTGTAATCCATTACAAATAGATTTCTCAGGTCTTGCTGCAAGTTTGGGAATGTTTATTTTTCACCAAAGAGCTGATAGGTAGAGCATCAACTCCCGACTCTCTGGCTTTCTATCTTATGTGACAGGCATGTTACCTCGTTCTCTTTTCACACAGTTTATTTAGCTGTTAATTCCTGCTCAGAGGGTTCTGCTCCAGGTTCATTCTCGAGCATTATGAACAGACCATTACCCAGAGCTGCTTGCTGTGCTGGTGACATCATGAATGCTGAGCACGCAGCAGTTACCAACAAAAATATTCAAGTTTGGAGGTGAAAGATTATGCACTTATTCTGCCCTGTAGGCTGGTAAAGGAAGGTCGTGTCGTGGATATTCACAGGGGACTGGGTTAAATGAAAGCTCTTTTGTGCAATTGCATTGATGAAGGTCATTATCTTTTAACGGTAAAATAATTAGGTGTGTAATACATACAGAAGTAAAGTGCAAATGCAGGAAGTATTTGCTGTCCACCCTGTGCTTAACACTTCTCAGTTTCCTTGTGTACATTTTTATATAACAATCATTTATAATAAAATTAATGTGGACAGAACTGACGATGAGAGGTGGAATATGGGCAGCATCAAAAATGACCATAGAGTGCCAGGAGCACAAGTGAAGAACACTGGTGCCCAAGTTTTCTTCTTTACAATTTTGACAGTATAAGGAAGGAGGGAAACCAGGAATAGGTACATAACGTTCATCAATTCCTGGCTTCATGGCTGGTGCTGGCTCAAGGGTTTTGGTTTTTATGGCAATGGGACTTTCTATAAAGATTGTAACCTGTTAGGGAGGGATGGGATCCCCCTGTCTAGGGGTGGCAGGGCAATCTCGGGCAGCAGGCTGTCCAACCTAGTGAGGTGTGCTTTAAACTGAAGGGGATGGGGTCCAAAATGGCCATGCTTATGCCGTTGTGACTGATAGGAATATGCCAAGCTGACCAGCATAGTGACAAATGTTGCTTATCTACCTCCCATAACATTGAGCTAGAAGGTGAGCCATCTCAAAGGAGCCCGCAGAAGTGACTGCCAAACCACACGCTATCATTTTTGACAGGTCATGGAGAATAGGAGAGGTGCCTGAGAACAAGAGAAAAGCCGATGTCAGTCCAGTCTTCAAAAAAGGACATAAGGAGTCTGGAAACTACAGGCCAGTCAGCCTCATGTCTGTACCTGGAAAGTTGATGGAACAGCTTGTTCTGGATGTCATCTCCAAGAAACTGGTAGAGAACAACGTTATCAGGAACATTCAGTATGGATTCACCAAGAGGAAATCATGCTTGACCAGCCTGGTAGCCTTCTGTGATGCTATGGCTGGCTGGGTAGATGAGGAGACAGCAGTGGGTGCTGTGTGCCTTGACTTCAGCATGGCTTTTGACAGTGCCTTCCCTAACATCTTTGTGCATAAGCTTAGGAAGATGAGCAGAGAGGTGGATTGAGAATTGTCTGACTGGCAGTGTTGTCATCTGTGGCACAGTCTGGTTGGAGGCCTGTAAGAACCAGTGTTCAACAGGTGTCAGTACTGGGTCTGGGCTTGCTCAGCATCTTCATCAGTGATTCGGATGAAGGGTTAAGAGTTACCATGAGTCAGCAAGTTTGCTGACGATATAAAGCTGGGAGCAGTGCCTCACCCAGCAGAAGGCTGTGCTGCCTAGTAGCAAGACCTGGGCAGGCTGGAGAGCCCTGACTTTCTTTAGAATCTCTGTTGATAATGGAGGAAAATGCAAGCTGTACTTCAGGTTTATTCAAGATCTTTTCTCATGGTTTGTTTCCATATAATTAAAAATCCAGTGCTGCATTGGTCATCCCACTGTACTTTCTGCCAGTAGTACATCGACAGAAGGGATTGAATAATAGATACTTATTTAAAAACGAAAGGTGTGATCACACCTCTAAAAAACAGACTTTGGCCAGACTGCTTTTCTATTGGCTCAGCTTGTTCATTTTGCAATCTGTATAAGCTGACCTCATTTTTATGTTCTGATGTTTCTGCTGTGAAGAACAGGTAAAGCCTCTACAAGGATATGATGAAATAAACTGCAATGGGTAATGCTTAGGTGGAAAACAAACATCTGAAATGGGCAGGGAGAGCGCAAAGCATTTTCCCACTTTCTGGAAAAAAATTCTTAAATATTAGTCCAGATCTGTGTGTATCTGCCTCTCTTTTTTTTTTCTGAACTTTTTTTTCATTTTGCAGTAGTAGTTCTTAGACTAACACTTCACTTCATAATTGGTGTGACTTTTCTATTTATGCTGTGGATGCCCCAGGATTAGTTTGTTCACAGACTGGCATGTAGACTTCCATGAAGCCTTAAAATCTGATGTTTAAATACCTGCACAGGCAGAACTTAAAGAGATTCTGTGTGTCCAAACCAGGAGAAGATGATGCATTTTGGCAGCAGTTCATTTAGAAAGTAAAATTAAGACCTGAGCTAAGAAGTAGGTATTTTTTTCTGTTGCTTCTGGTACTTTTTTTTTCTTTTTTCTCAGTGAAAGCTGCTATCTTTGCCCCCCCAGCCAAAAGAAACCACCAACAAAAAAAAGACAACCATTACAGTAATGAGTGGATTTATGCAGAAAAAAGGTGAAATTACAGATAGATTGCACAAGAATTTCACTAGCAATCTAAATTTTCGTCTTTTTCTGTGACTTCCATATTTGCAGAAATGAAATGGCATAGTCCATAATGTACACATTCCAGAAGAAAGTGAAATTAAAGTTACTCCACGGCACTTCTTTTGTGTGATGATTATGCAGTGAGTGTATTGGATGCAGTTAGGATGCTGATGAAGCTTAAAGATGAGCTTTTCAGATCAACTTTATCAGATAATCTAATTTGCTTCATGGTTGTTTACGTCTTCCTACAAATGCTTATTTCTTCCAAAAATATTGGCAAACAGTATTTGTCAGCAGGTGTTCCCTGGTGAAAAAATATGTTTTTTGGTTGCATTGTTGGTTGAGTTAGAAAATGATCCTAACTTTTAATGGAAATGTTAATCTCTGAATGGGGGTTTCAGCAGTGTAAATAGGTAATGTTTTTTTTATAACAACTGACTGGAGGAAGAAAAGTACATATACATTTTAAGTGGTGTTTTCTTGAATATGTTTATTTTGGGCATTACATTTTACTCTGCATGAGATTAGCCCTGTTTCTTGTTTTTTTGCTGATTCTGAGAGCTTTAGGTATGGCGAATGGAGGATCATATTGAACTGCTGAAAAATTAGAACATGATGGCGGTGTCACAGGGTCACAGAATGGCCAAGAGAAGGTTCACCTCACCCAACCCCTGCCCAAGAAAGGACCCCCAGAGCAGGGTGTCCAGGCCCATGTGCAGGTCTGAAGGTTTCCAAAGAGGAGATCCACAATCTCTGGGCAGTCTGTGCCAGCGTACTGCCACCCACACAGCACAGGAATTCTTCCTCATGTTCAGAGGGAACCTCCTGTCCTCCAGTTTGTATCTGTTGCCTCTTGTCCCAGAACTGGGCACCACTGAAATGAGCCTGGCTCCATCCTCTTTGCACTCTCCCTTCAGGTATTTTATATGCACTGATGAGATTCCCCATGAGCCATTTCCTGGCAAAACATCCCAGCTCCCGCAGCCTTTCTTCATGGGAAAGTACTCCAGTCCCTTACCCACAGTTGTGGCCCTTTGCTGGACTCTTTACAGTACTGCCCATGTCTCCTTGTACTGGGTACATGGTGGGGAAGGTTAGAACTGGATACAGCATTACACTTGTGGGCTTGTTATAGCTAAGTAGAGGGGAAGGATCAGCTCCATTCATCTGCTGGTGAGTGCCCAGTACAACCCAGTATACCTTCTTGAATGTGAAGATCATCTCATTCTTCATTGTGCAGAGTTTAGAAACGTGTTTTAACACTTTAAAACAGCCAAATAAAATGTAATTTGACAACATTGAAACAAGTGGTTAATTAATTAATTAATTAATTTTTAAAGTTCTAATTTCCTAATTTGCAAGAAATATGAAGTTGTCTGGAAAATGAGGGCGGAGAGTTCTCAATTTAAAGTCAGAATAAAAAACAAATAAGGTCAAAGACAATTGCAGCAGTGGATAATAGTGTAGCATTTCCTCACAGCTGCATATGCCCTGGTGCCAGAGATCCTGCTCACGCTGCTGTCTTATTATTGCAATTGCTCAAAGTGTCTATCAAATGTTCCGTGCTTCTTAAAAGCTATTTGCATAAAAATAAACTATTACAATTTTAACACCTCAGCAATAAAAAGTTTTGGTTTTGAAAACTCTGGTTTGTTTCACATTTAACATTCAGTATTTTCATTAATCTTACTTAGTGTGACAGTATCTTCTGTGTCCAAGGTTACTAAAGCTGACAGTGATGTATTCAATCAGTTCTAGAGTTAGGTGTAGTTAATGAACTACACAGATCTGCTTTACTACCTGTCTTTCTAAAATTAGTTCTGGGGACAGTCTGAAGTTCATATTGCCTCTTGACTCTGCTAGTCTCTTCTCTCTGCTGAAGATGCAAGGCATAATGTGAAATATTCTTAATAAAGCAAATGTTAGGTAATTTCTATTAATTGCTATATTGACTGCTGTTTTTAGCTAATGACATTGTACAGCCTACACAGGTATATTATTACGGGATTGAAATAAGTAGAAATTCTACTGTACATCTTGGGAGAGCATGTGAGTGCTACCAATGGAAATAATTCCTACATATAGTTTAGGAGTTTTAAATTCAGCTGTAATGTGTTTTTTACCAATCCCTCTCTGCTTGTTCCTTTAGGAACCATATTTCCCATTTCCTGATCTGCTAGTTGAAATATGAATGTTTTAAATTTCTATATCAGTACACTTCATATTGCTAGAACTCGAAGCAAAGCCGTGACAGTTGTTAACTCCAGTTCCAAAAAATGTATTTTAAAATAGTAAAAAGAATGAAAATTAAAAAAAAAAAAAAAAAAAAAAGATG